GAATCGGTTAATTTTATAGAAAGTAGGAAGAATATAATTGAATCAAAACAATGTAATTTTTTAAATTAATTAAAAAAAAGTAAATAATATAAATCTGCAATCGTTTAAATGGAATTACCTTGTCCGATCGATGAAACTAAAATTGCAATCTTTTAAGTGAATCAAGTTTTTTTTTCTCCCCGTAAACATTTAACTGTTTATGGATCGATAAAACAAAAATTTTACATTATAACGGAGCAGACACGTGGCGAATTAATTGATGCGGTTGCTTTATATCGGTAGCGTATGTGCGTGACACAAACCGCACTTCGATTATAAACTTCAATACACGGCTACGTATGGACTCAGTATGTGAGATGTCTCCAACGATCAACTTCTACCTCTTCTGGATAATGGCGAATATCCGTAACGTTCTGGCATCGTAAGATATTTCGTATTATTTACATTATTTTACATACATTACATTTGTTTACATTTAGTGGACACTCTCTCTGTCACCTGTAGCATTAAATGCTACTGGCATGAAGTACTTCTCTTTTAATTAACCCTGCTTCGCATACGCTTTGCAGGTAGTTATGATTACATAGTCACGGTCGTTTGATTTTTTTACTAAAATAGTTGATTTTTTTTAATGATACTGCTCCCTATTTCTATAGTAATAAACATACAACGCTCCCACTCCTTCTAAGGATCTCGATCCGTCTGTATAGATTCTGTATTTATCCCGATAATTGTATTTCTTTATATTTATTTTATCCCATTCATATCTTAATACAGGCGACCCCCCCTATAACACGGGTTCCTATAGTTCGGAGTACGGCGAAAAAATTGCGACAGTATTTGTACAAACATGCTAAAAAAAACTCGTATAATTCGGTAAAACGTCATCGCCGACTCGTGTCGCGACAGGATTGGTCGAATCTAGACCAATAGTGAATATTGTACAAACCGTTGAGTTTAAACGACCTACTAAAATCTATTTATTATTTAACGGCCATAAAAATTATATTTATATTAATGGTGTCTCCAAAGTTCAGCGAATTTTTCGCAAAAGAATAATTTATCAGGAAGCACGCTAGCGCCATTCGATGACAAGCTCCGCGAAGAAAACAAGCTTAAGCAATGGCGTCGTCGAACGGTGCACACTCGGTAAGTAATCCTACAATTTTTTGTTTATAGCACAGTTCATACGGATTATTCCCAAAAAATTATACGTATTTTGGAAATGTTGAGTGGAATTAGTTTAGAATCGATTAATTTTATGGAAGAAACCTTTCAAACAGCCGTAGTCCCTAAACTGCATACGTGACTGGCTGGACTCGTAGAGAATGGATTCATAAAAACCGGAACGTATTACTGCGTTATATGGGGGCCGACTGTAATTTTTGGTGTTGCTTCATATCTGCTTCTAGCTCGTCCTCTTTTTTCAATAAATTATTATAAGTTTTGTTTCCTTTTAATATATTTCTTGTGTCACTATGCTGTCGTATTTCAAATCCAGAGGCATTAGGCCCGCCAGTACACAGAGTGCATCGTGTGATGTAGTACAGTACGCTCCAGTAATTCTTAATAGCATTTTTTTTTTTTTGTAGGCTATTTATTTTCTGTTTCATATGTGTCAACTCCACCCTCTTCCCCCGAATTTGGGCAGCATATGTGACAATTGGGATTACAGCACCTTTATAAATATGTGTTAAAGCCCTTTCACCTATACTGCATTCTTTACGTGCTACTTTCGCTATTTCTTAAAATAGGTTACTCACTTTTTTTTTTAATTGTTTCTAGGTGTTCATTCCAGAAAAGTTTGTTATCTATTGTTACTCCTAGATAGTTGATTTGCTTTACATATTTAATCGATTTATTTTTCATTATAATTGTGGGTTGCGTGCTTGCCACTTTGCATGTTATAAAGGCTATGGCGTTTGTCTTCTCTGGATTAAATTTAAGTTCGTTTGCATTTTCCCATTTCTCTATTTTATCCAGTATATTTTTACATTTTATTTCTATTTGTTTTTTTGCTTTTTGGTGAACAGACGACCATTATATTGTCAGCAAATGCTGTTATTTTTGATTCTGATAATGTATTGATTTTCAAGAGATCGTTTAATAATTAATTAATATAATTGACCAAAAAATGGGTCCCGTATTATTTACACTTATCTTTGAATACATCCTGCACCAATGCACATTACTGATATTTTCCTAAAATAACTATGCGTGCTACCCCATTTATTTAGATGGCCAGATGGCCGAGCGGTCAAGGTGACAGCTACCGCTCTGGGCATTCCTTGACCTGTCCGGATCGAATCCGGACAGGTCAAGGAAGGCCCAGAGGAAGAAAGCCTCTTATAGCAGGCGCAGACTAAGAGGGCCTCTTAGTGCCCACAGGGTGGAAAGAGTAAGAAAAACCCTTTTATTTCTTATTAACATATGTATTCTGTGTTAAATATTAGATTTCAGGTCACAAACTCGTCTATACAGTTGCATTAAGTAACCTATTATATAAAAATCATGCAATTTCTTTATATAAAATTCTATTATACTACACTTTTTATAATAATATTTTTCAATTGTCCTTCTTCCCAGTTGTTACAGATGAAAGAATAATGTTTATCTTGATATTAATTTTTACAAAATTCGATAATGTACGTAACTGCTAGCTATATATATATTTTTTAATCATTTAAATTTATTTATTATATAAGTAACATATATGTATTTATTTTAAAATCTTAATTTTAAATTAATATAAATATTTAAAGAAAGAAAATTAACATTTTAATTCAACTGGCAACACTTATTTGAATATTTAAAAATTATAATCGTCGAAGTGTTGCCATCTCTGTTAAAATTATAAATAATTATGTTTAAATACGTAACGAATTTTATACGTAACGAATATCATTTATTTTTTTTTTTTACTAACTTTTTTCTCTATGTAAAATACAACAGCTTAAAATCGTTACGACAGTTCTTTTTCTGTCACAAAAATAAATAAATAAATAAATAATAAAATTTATTTATTATTTATTTATTTATCGTAACGATTTTAAGCTGTCCGCTCCGAACTGTTCCCGAAAAATGGCGGCTCCGGGAATCGATAGTCACAAAACTTTTTTAGCACGTGAGGAAAGCTCGTGGGCTACCCAGCGAAGAGAAAACGAGATTGGACCAAGGGGGAGCGAAGCAAGCTGGGGTCGTGCAAAGTAAGCGGAAATTTAATTTGGGGAAGAAAACGAGGTAGAAGAAATTTATCAGATAAGGGTGGCTGGTCAGAGGGAAGTTGATCCTTTGTAAGAGGTTGAATCGTCACATAAGTTTTGTTATGAATAGTATGTTGTTTGTTAAGTTATGGCAACGCAACACTTGGGCGATCTGCCTTGGAGGAATGCCTTCCGGGAGGTCTTTTTTAAGAGAAACCGGCCTATATTCAGGAGTTACAGACGTGAAAATTCGGAAAACTCCGCGTGGCCAGCCCGTCCTAACGAGGCGCGTACCCATGATTAAACTCCCAGTGTTCAGAGAATGGAACCACTAGGCCTATATCAATTGAAAAAACAATAGCTTTTTAACTTGATCTAAAGAAAGTGATTGACTGATTTGCCAACGAAAATGCGGTGGCAAAGGAGTTATTTCATGGACCCTGTGCAGTTTAAAAGAACCTTTAATATTTGATCTCAATTTTAAATTAAGTTAATTATTGTTTAAATTTTAAAGAAAACATGAAATTCAAAACATTAAATAAAGTGTAATGTTTTAAAAAGTGCTTGATGTATTTATGAGATTTCAATAAAAATTCTTAATGTCTGGTGTTAATCAGCTAATCGAATTATATTATAATTAACTGATTAGATTTACAAAGTCTAGAATCCGGATACGAACAAGGCCTAAACCAAAACAGTTTATCATAGGCAGTATATGTTTCTCCCTTCTCAAATTGGTGAACCCCATTGCGAGTTAGGGCCTTCCATTGTAGGCATAACTGTAGTGATTTATATAAACATTTTACAGCTGCCTCGAAGAATTTTGAGATTTCTAGTTGTTTTACTTGCTTGAACTCTAAATAAAGTAATTTTAAAGAAGGCCCACCAGTCAGGGTCCTCGTACCCTGAACATTTGGAGTTCGGTCGTGGTTTCGTTCGGACGGGCAGGCCACGTGGATTTTTCGGGTTTTCTTTACGTCTATAACGCCTAAATAGGTGCCAGTTTTCCTTAAAAGGCCTCTTGGAAGGCATTCCCAAGGCAGATCGCCCAATTGTTGTTGCCATAACTTAACAAAAGCAATTCTAAAGACGTCAACCCGTAACTCTATATTTTGTTCAGAAAACATTAAACTGAACAGGAATGAAAATGGAAGCCATTTTGTTAGTTGTTTTCCTATCAAAATTTTTATGTGTTTTTTATGATGCGACTATATTAAACGTTCTATTGATTCACTTTATAAATTTAAAATTGCCTGCCAATAATCACGAACAGAAACGAAAAATATAATTATTGGGATAAAATCGTTTATCGTGTAAGACTGTTGTCACGAAATCCACTCAACTAATAGTCACGACTTGATATTTTAAAAAATGTAATGTAAATTATATACTGTCAAACACACGCACAGAAAAATACGGAAATTTTAATTGCTATTTTCAAAAGCCTCCCTGCGGCTATAATTATAATTAAAATTTCAATATTTAATTAGATTTATTGATTTTCGAAATTAAAGTTGCTTCAACTTGTTTACGTTATTTAAATGTACTGCGTATCATATTTTCATGTTATTTGTATTCCTATAAAGTTTTTCTATAATACAGTCGACCCCCTATAACACTGTTGATTATTTCGTTTTATATGAATTCCATGTTGTACGAGTCACTCAGATTTTACAAATACGTGAGCCGTTCCCAGCCCGGCACACGTATTTGTAAAATCTAAGTGACTCGTACAACATGGAATTGATATAAAACGGAATAATCAACAGTGTTATAGGGAGGTCGACTGTATTCAGCCTTGTAATTTAATAAACTAGAAGCGGTTTGAAATCTTGCTTCTACTTCAGTAATTTTAATTATACATTAATTGTGATCAACATTATTAATATTTTATTGAAGAACAAAAATGTATTTGCTAAGGTAGTCACAAGTTTACAATGGTATCGACGGGTCATCAGGGAAAGGAAACCAAATAACTACAGGGTGGTTATAATTAATGTTGCGCTACTCAGACCTGTCTAGAGCCCGTTCTCGTGGACGTATTTTGATGAAACTCGGTATACATGTTATATGGACCGTGGAGAAAAGAAAAACGCAAAAGAAATATTTAGTTCGAATTTTTACCACTAGGTGAGAAAATGGCGCATGAAGAGCAAGAAACACAAAAATGGAAACACGCAAAAGGTGCGCCCGGATGGCCAAGCGGTCAAGGTGGCAGCCTACCGCTCTGGGGGACCCGGGTTCGAATCCGAACGGGTCAAAAAATCCACCTGGCAGCCCCATTGTGGATCTGGCCGAACCCATAATGGGCTTGCAAAAAGAGGCCCTCTTAGTTCTCACGGGGCAGAAAGAGTTAAAAAAAACACACACACAAAAGGTCTTTATTCAAAATATTTGTTCAATGTGCAATTCATTTGCATCAATTACATGTTCAAAACGCCTTACAATCATCATGTGTTCAAATGCATCAGTCATGTGCTCAAAATCCCTTACAGCATTGTAAGGCGTTTTGAACACGTAATTGATGCAAATGGATTGCACATTAAACAAATGTTTTGAATAAAGATCTTTTGCATGTTTTTATTTTGTGTTTCTTGTTTTTTGTGCGCCATTTTCTCACCTAGTGGTAAAAATTCAAACTAAATATTTCTTTTGCGTTTTTCTTTTCTCCACTGTCCATATAACATATATACCAAGTTTCATCAAAATACGTCCACGAGAACGGGCTCTAGACAGGTCTGAGTAGCGCAACTTTAATTATAACCACCCTGTACAGTACCTTTTAAATATTTTGTGTTTAAAATAAAAGTGTATATGAAATTATACCTTTAAGTAATAGTCAAAAATCCTCAATTCTAAGCATTTTCGAGAAAGGGTGAACCAATTTTAAGCTATTATATTTATATGGTTAAAAGAAATTTTAATTAATCCACTGAAAAAGCCCCGAAGAATGTGCACCGTACATATAAATTCATTGAAACAAAATGTGTTAGACTTTAATTAAGGGACCCACAAAACGGGCTATCGATTTCACCACAGCGTTTGAAGTTCCACTCTGAAATGGCCACGAAAAATGAAAACTACTGGACAGAATGTTATCAAACTTGGTAATAGTGTACAGGACGTAATGGAATTTTATTTCCCGCGAAATAAGAGTATAGTTCAAAAACTCACCACCAACGGAAAAATGGCGCTGTCTGCAATATTTTTAAACGAAATAAGACATGAAGACATCGTTGAAAATGTTTTTAATCGGTTTTAAAACGCGTTACATAACATGTTCAATGTGGCGTCCACCATTTTCTAAAAGCAAGTCAAATCGCATTACTGTGTTTTCAACAGTAGCTCTTAGCATATCAGGAGTAACTTCACGAACCGTTTCGTTTTAAAACCGATTAAAAACATGTTCAACAATGTCTTCGTGTCTTATTTCGTTTAAAAATATTGCAGACAGCGCCATTTTTCCGTTGGTGGTGAGTTTTTGAACTATATTTTTTTTTCGCGGGAAATAAAATTCCATTACGTCCTGTACAGTATTACAAAGTTTGGTAATATTCTGCCCAGTAGTTTTCATTTTATGGCCATTTCAAAGTGGAACTTTAATTATAAACACCCTGTATTGTAAATGCCAATAACTAGTAAAATTTTTATTCACTCTGACTCAGCTGGAAATAAACTCGTGACTCCCATCTATCATCTGACCTCCTCGAATTCTATATCCGAAATTTAATAGCATCAATGCCTCTTATATACAAGTCGGAATGCCAAATTTCGTTCCTCAATCTTAATCCTTTGAGGATTTTTGAGTATTACATATAAGTTTAATTTTATATAAACTTTTATATAAATACGAAATGTTTAAACGTCAAATATATCTTAGAAAACAAAACTAATTACCGGAGGATTTGTTTCTAGTTCAACACGAATACTATTTCATGAGCTTGATACATCCACCATAGACTTGAGGATGTATCATGCTCGTTCCTGAGGTAGAACACCCATGAATATTGTTGGATTCTTCTGTTCCTCGGCTGTAAGAACGGCAGCTGAACCCTTAACTACTCGGCCATCCGAACAATTAAATTAAGGCGTCAGACTGACCCTCTTGTTTGTAAAAGACTGTTCGTGCTCCCAAGGTATAAACAGTTTAAAAACAATTAGAAAATTGAATGTCTTAGATTAATTTTACTTTATTCTCAATAAGGAGAATGGTTACCATTTGAGTAATTAATATTAAATTGAATTTTTAATTGATTTTGATAATAGTAACCACAGCTGTTCTTTGGACGAAATAATACCCGAAGATTACAAGAACACAGAGGCACCTCGTGAGAATGGTTGTAATTTTTTAATTTACGTACAGTACGTGATGAAATTTTGAATTCACTAAACATACTCTAATCGAATTTTTCAGGCAAAGCGGTTAATGTTTACATCGCTGTCAAGGTTTGCGATATTTATGACTTGGACGAGTCTACAATGGTAAGTTTTAAAGTTTTTGTGAGAAATGAGACACTAAATGATGGGTATTCTTGATGAATTTAGATAAGAGTTTTCTGATTGCTCGCTTATGAACATTCTCACTCGGACAAAATGTTTAAAGGATAGTTATGAAAAGCTGTGATTTTTAAAAATACAATGTTTCATTACCTGGTTTATTAGTTAATTAATTAATTAACACAGGTACGCAAAGTAACGCAATTCAGTAGACTAAGGAGGAACTGAACGTGTATAAAATAAATATGAAACATACGTGACATAGAAGAAAAACCGTACACGAAGTGTTTAGTTGGTAGAAAATAGGGTAAGGGAAAGGAGAGGAGAAGAAGGAGGGAGAAGGGATAGACTGTAGAAAAAGGTAGGATCCCTCTGAACGGCGTATATATGGCTACAGTACCCACTATATTTGATGTTGACGTGCAGTTTTTACGTTGCAAGGCCGTAGCCCCGCAAAAAGTCTAAAAGAAAACTCGAGTGTAGCGAACACCAATAATTGAGTGCCGCCACGAAAAGCTAAGTGTAGAAGTTAGTGCCAAATGGCTATTAGTAGGAAGACTTATATCTACTTAATACTAATAAAACTGAACGCGATCGCGAATCTTAATACTTCTTAACAGTTAAACACACAGCGCGAAAAGGAAATTAACACAATGACAAACTAGACGAGATGAACAGACCGACAGAGACAAAAGGGCAAGACCACAATCTTTTTTGTATTATTATTTTTTATTTATTTATTTATTTTATTTTATGTTTTCTAAACATTACTTATAACTAAACTAACCTACCATAACCTAGGACGAACCTAACCACAGGACTAAAGCTAACAAACTCTAATCTAATTTAACCTAACCTATCCTATCCTAATTGGAAACTGGAAACCAAGCTAAGAGTCCCTAATCTAAATTACAATTTAGGACTAATCGAATTTAGACTGAAAAAGAAGGCAGAAAAAAGAATTAAAACACAAAGTTAAAAGGCAGCTATATACTGACAGTTGAAACAAAGCAAGGAAAAGCAAATTGCCATCAGTGCCCCTGGAGTGAGTGCTCTCAAGAGCACCATAAGGGAAAGTATAAATTTAAGTAGATGATGGAACATTGTACGTGTGTGAATGAGTTGGTGCGGATTGCGAGGCCAGTTGTGCCCTTCAAGAATAGTACCTCTCATTAAACTATCCCTAATGTGATTGTACCTATTGCAGCAAAAAACTAAGTAAGCGGTGTTTGGTCCTTCTGAATACCACAATCGCATTGAGGATTGTCCCATGGTTAAATCTATGCAAGTATTGCTTACAGTTGCCGTGTCCTGTAAGTAGCTGAGTGAGGGTATAACTAGGGTAAAAGTGGCGAAGAATCGTAGTAGTGTCAACCTTGGGAATGAAAGTGTAGGTGAGCCTACCAGTGGTGTCATGGTCCCAGCTGTCTTGCCAGAGAATGAAGATTTGCTTCTTGACGTGATTGTCGATGTACAAGGTAGGAATGTAACTGAAAGTACTAGTGACTGAAGACTTTGTAGCTTGTTTGGCAATATGGTCAGTGGTCTCATTGTCGAGAGTCCCGCATGACCCAGGACCCATTGGAAATCTATTTTAATATTGTTGTCTAAGTGTCTGAGAATGTGGTGTATGAGATGGATGAGTTTTAAGCGGCTATCGCACTTCGCAATTCCGTGTAAATCTACTCTTCTGTCAGAATAAATGCGATAGTGTAGGATGTGTCTTTTGTCCTTCCTACGCTGTAACGCAGTGTTTCCCAACCTTTTTTGTGCTATGCCCCACCTAAGCCTTTCTAAAATTCTTATGGCCCCTCTAACATATACAGCAGCTATACGGTAAATTAAAATTTAGACGAGTCCATTTTCGAATTGCCCCCCTGTGGGGCGTGGGCCCCACGTTGGGAAATACTGCTCTAACGTGAATTAAAAGATCGATAAATATAAAACAGTACAATTGTATGTAAATACAATGTACTGTTTTTATTTGATACATTTATTTCATTTTTAAATCGTTCCCAAATGGTAAGAATTATTCGCTGAAATTCCTCGCTCAACGTGTTTGTTACCACTTTTTATGTACAAACGTGAGGCAAACACACAGCCCATACATGCTCATGCTGTTTCAGAGAAATGAACTTCAGTAAGTTTCAACATAAATAATAGTATAAGGTTTCAGTTTAAGAAAAACCACTAGAATTCCAAACAAATTTCCTAGTCGACATTTCTGGGATTTTTTAATTGAATTAATGGTAATAAAAAAATAAGAATTACTTTTTTATAAAGTTGCAAGTTTCTGCAATTGCATGAAATAAAATTTAAAATACAGAAGACCCCCTATAACGCTTAGATACGTTCCACGTTAATCGAATTTTACGTTGTAGGAATGATTAAATACATGAGCCAATTGCAGCCCGATAGGTGTGAAGTTTACGGACTAAGGCTGTTTGAAAGGTTTTCTTCTATAAAATTAACCGATTCTAGACTAATTCCACTCAACATTTCCAAAACACGTATAATTTTTTGGGAATAATCCGTATAAACTATGCTAATAAACAAAAAATTATAGGATTACTTACCGAGTGTGCACCGTTCGACTACGCCGTTGCTCAAAGCTTGTTTTCGTCGCGGAACAGCACACGAAACGGCGGCCGCGATTTCTAATAACGAATTTTTCGCAGAAAAATAACTTGACCTTTGGAGACATCATTAATATAAATAATTTTTATGGCCGTTGAATAAGAAATGTTTCTTTCACAAGAAATGTATAAAATTAGTGCTGTATTAGACTTACGGTACCTAATTTACATACTGTACAGACGATAATAAACTCAACTTACTAGCCTAAAATCTCCATAGCGTGGCGCCAGGCGGCGGAAAGCATATATATAATTATAATAATATTACAATAAATTAAGTTAATATATAATTATGTATACAATACCTAATTTATACATAATTTATATATAATACTGTACAGATTATAGCAAACTCAATTTAGCCGCTCTGTAGCGTGGCGCAGGGCAGAGGAAAGTAGTTCGGCTGCTCATCCACTATTGGTTCAGATTCTATCAATCTTGTCGCGAAACGAGTCGGCGACGACGTTTTAGGAGCTCCTTTATACGTATGTTGCTACAATTTTTTCGCTACGTTATAGGAATTTCCGTTATAGGAACGCACGTTATAGGGGGTCGACTGTATTTAAAATTATTTTTATTTCAAAACTTTTTAATTTAAGTTTAATTTATAATAGAACATAAAATGATAACAATTGTCAATAAACAAAGAAATTTTATATTAAAAAGTACCCAAAGAAATTTACACAATAACAATGAGATGTCAGTCTTATTATTTGTAATATCAGTTTGAGTATATCTGTATCAAAATATTTATTTTTTTTTCTCAGGATTTCCACATTCATATGTATTTCAAAGATTACTGGAAAGATGACAGATTAAATTTAAAATGTCTTCAGAAGGATAACGGAAGACCCAGCATCCTTCCCTTAGAAATTCAAAAGAAAATATGGACTCCCGACATTTTTTTCGAAAATTGTATTTCTGGAAAGCTCTTTAAAATTACTCTACCCAATATAGCAATGAAGATTTTACCTGATGGATATATTTATCGTTATGCCAGGTAAATATTTTTCACATTTCTGTATTATAACTCATAAATGCCAAACTGTATTAATTAAAATTAATATCAAAATAAATAAGTTGAAATCATTTCAGATACGATTTGCGTATAAGTTGTCCCATGGATCTCCATCGGTATCCACTGGATCTGCAAGTCTGTAGCATCAGGATCTCTTTATGTGAGTAGCTCTTTGCTTAATTTAACTTGTCATATCGTTACCGTGATCCCTAAAGATCTTTTTAATAGTCTCCTTTCCTGATGATATGGTGACTCTTCATTGGATGGAAGATGCAGGAGGACCCAGTTCTTTTGTGAAAAGTAAAAAATCCATCGTTTACGATACGGAGATCATATTGCCCCAATTCAAAATAACCAAAACTACTACAGAAAAGGAAGTCAGTTCATGGAATACAGGTAAATGCTATACAAATGAAACACAATAAACAAATTGAGACAAAAGAAATTTTTTAGGTAACTATACCACTTTGAAAGCGATATTCTTTTTCGATCGCATGATAACCGCTCACTTGATCAACACCTACATTCCGAGTACATTGATAGTGGCACTATCTTGGCTCTCATTCTGGTTGGACGTAGGAGCAGTACCCGCAAGAGTCACCCTAGGAGTGACTTCGCTCTTAACACTAGCAACCCAAATAGTACAGAGCAGGAAGAACTTACCTCCAGTTTCATACGTCAATGCAATGGACGTCTGGCTCTTCGTCTGCTTAAATATGGTTTTCGCCACTTTAATGGAGTATGCAATCTCGTATTACATGACCAACTATGCGGCGAATAAATTCGAAAACTGGTTTCGTTCTTGGAAGCAGAAATTAATGGTATTTATAATTATTGATATAAATTATCAAAGAATATATTCTGAGTGATGATTATAATTTTACATACTCGATAAAAAAAACCTCTAACATATAGCGTTTTACATACATAGAGACCAAACTTTCTATGTAACTAGAAATGAATACATCATCTATGGATTGTAGCGCCACGAAACTAGGTCGTACCTATCGCGTTGCCGTAAACAAATAAACCCATAGTTCCATCAAGTTGGGATCGAGTTCCCATTAAAATTTGCAAACAATATTAAGCTAGGAGACTTTTCTCTTTTATATTTGTTCCAGTGTGTGGTATTCCTCAGGGATCCATCTCAAGTAGCTTTTTTAAATCGCTTATTTTGATCTTGCTATTCTTTGAGTTAATTCTAAAATTATAGGTTATTCTGATGATTTAAAAAAGCTAGCAAGGGTTCTTGCTCGACTTTTCTGCACTCAAACAGAAGGTCAAGGAAACAATTAGGAGGTCCGATAATTTACCATTATACTAAGATATAAAATTTAAGTAGTAATAGAAGGTTAATTAAAAGGAATAATTTTATGGAATTATAATTAAAATTTCCGTTAAAAAACTCTATAATATACACAGTAACTCAAATTTAAACTTGTTTGTGGCACCATCTGTCACGAGATGTTATTAAAAATAACTTTTATATTATTAATTATTATAAAATAAGCAAAAACCCGCTTAATTTGGAGGGTAGAAATGAATGTTTTTTTTTTTTAAATATTGCAAATAGAAATAACGAATAAAATATTTATAAAGCCCAACTCAATTCCCAATTTAACACACTATTTTTCTGTTTCTTCACGTTTTCCAGTCCTATACTTTAAAATTTAATATCATCAATGCCCTTTATATACAAGTAACCGTGCCAGATTTAATTTCATATTTTTTCTCATGCTGAGGAATTAAATGAAATACCGGTATCCTTCGTATCATACGGTAGTTACGTTCCGAAAAAGTGCCGTGTTATGCGAATCCATGCTGTACGAAACACAGAAGCGGTGGATAACATAGGGAGGGATAGGTTTCAAAAGTTAACAAAAGTAATTTGGTAACTTAGAAATGTTTTGTTTATGTATTTAATACTAGTATATGAAACATTAAATAAAACCTCACACATTCCCTTCATTACTTTTATTAAATAAGAAGGTGAGATAATAAAAGTTATTATAATTATTTCTTTGCAGAATGTACGTATTATGGACGTGAAGGAAAAGTCTCGACAAGGTTGGGTTGGAACAGAGAAGACAAATAAAAAGAAAGTCACGAATTCAAACAAAGAAACTGCCAAAGTTTCTGTAAAACAGGTTCAAGTTTTGGACGGAATATGTAGGAAGCTATTTCCGATTACATTTTTTATCTTTGGTATTATTTACTGGATATATTTTGGCCTTATCTGTGAAGATAACAATTAAAAATACAGTCAAATTCATGATGAATTGGAGAATAACACTTGAATGAAAGAAATGAAGAACGAATGCGATTTAGGAGATTGAATTACACGAAATTTGAAGCACTAGGAAACATGATTTTTGTCTCTATTAATTTAATTACAGTTTCTAATGTATTTTGGAATGCTAATGCAAAAATAATCCACAAAATTCTCCGTCATACAAGAATTTTTTATATTTTTAAATTTTAAGAAAAAATGTAAATTACGGGAACATATATTTAAAAATAAAGATTCTTTTGCCCACAAAAATTAAGAAAAATTTTATATTATTTGAAAAATAGAGCAGTTATTGATGGATAATTTGTGCCAATTTTTTAAGGTTATCGCATGCTTAGGTGTGTTTACAAAAAATTACTGCGATTTGTGTCTGTGGAACAATCAGGAAACAAACATTTTGTTAAAGATGAGAGAGAAGAATATATACCTGGAGAAAGAAATATGTGCCGCTGATAGACCCAAAAAAAGATTTTTCTTTCTCCTCTTCACATTAAACTTGCGTTAATGAAAAACTTCGCGAAAGCCTTGGGAAAAGATGGAAGTGTGTTTATTTATCTTCAAGGAGTTTTCCCAAATGTGATAACAACAAAATTGATGGAAGGAATGTCAGTAGAACCCGAAATAAGAAAGCTTCTTTGAAACAAATTCTTTCAGTCAAAGCTCCAACCCGTCGAATTAGACACTTGGCGTTTATTCAAGTCAGCGATGAGTGGATTTTTTAAAAATAGAAGAGAACTATGAATTTCTATGTTTGAAAATGAGATGTGACAAAAAAATGGGTGTCGTATATCCTTGAAGATTTATCTTCAAGGATATACGACACCCATACGACACCCAACGTATATCCTTGAAGATGAATCTTCAAGATATACGTTAAGGATATAAGTTAAGGATCGTTAGATCCTTACAGAAAAATAACTTTCCCCCTATGTCGTCATCGCACTTGCCTTTTATATGGGGGCTCTCTTCTCGAGATTTCCTTATGTACGTCACAGGTGATGATCTTCTTTGACCAATGGTGGGCGAAGTGACAAAATTATGACACAACAGTTAACTCATCTTCTACAAGGAAGTAATTTCGTGGGAACGGAGTGTTATGAGCGATTTTTATGAGAAAATTTTGTCGGTTGTTTTTCTCTTTTCGAGTTAACCCTAACTTTTATAAAATCGTTTTGGTTTTGAAACAAAAACGATAGATATAAATGAATAAAAATATTCGAATCTCAGCATTCTTAAATCCGGGCCCTCACAGTAATTAATAATTATAAGTTATAAAATATAAATAAAATGATGCTATAATTAATCACACAAATGTTGCATCACTTCGCTGAAACTTCGCAGTCGTTCGAACATTGTCACATACCTCAGTTATAAGAGCATAAAAAAATTTCCTGAATTTCATGTACTGTACAGACGAAATTTGAGGCTAGTGTTTGACACGTAAGTCATCTTTTAACACGTAAGAGAAGGACGTATTCCATACCCGCTCCTCGCGGCCAACGCCCATAGCTAACTCCCGAAATTCATACAAAGTTTATTTCTAAGTTCCCAAGTTAATGAAAATGTTTATTAAAGCGCTGCCCAAGAATTAATAAGGAACATTCACATCGATCCGAATACAGAAGAATATATATAATGAGGTAGTATGTTTTTAACTCGAAATGTCATCTCTCTCTCCGCGATATCATAATCAGATATTGAAGGTTCAATTTGTATATTTTTCCTTTGCTTTATTAAATACTCGATATTTTTGTGATAAAGAAATGTCTCATTATGTCTGAATCAAAAGATTTCACCCTCTCCGTATTGATTCATGAATGCGTGTAATAAATCCGATTAACTGGTGTCTAGGATCCTGACGAGATCTAGAACTTACCATGTAAATTTTTTTAACATTATAAATAAAAGCCCTCCTTAAAAATTTAGAGATCGAATCTTGCGATTTTGAGCCGATTAAGCGGTACTCCAGATTGTACTCCCGGCTAATCTCACAACCTATTAACTATTTTTTACTATACGATAAGTGTTCATTGTTAATGTAAAGGTATTAAAAATTTAGAATACAATTCAATTTATGTGGCCCTTTGACATTTGGAGGCGCCAGGACTTAATCCCTATTAGTCGCTATATAGATCCACTTCTGATAGTGCCACTTAGTCGTATTGCGATAGAATTAACGCGAATCTGGTAGGAAAGAAGCAATCCCAGCCCCTGTTAATTACACAATAAGGTATACTAGTACTGAACCTAACGGACTCGGGACAAGTAACCTATGCAACTGCTGCCACAAAATAGGGTATCCTTGTATCTTCAGGTCACGGGAGACACGATCCTTGTACGATCGAGCAGTGAGACTATGCAAGATGAAAGCAATTGCCATCGATTGCATTGTTCTTGCTTAGTAACAAATTTCCTATTAATAAAATATCTTTATTTTGTCATACACTAAACATTTATGTTAAAAATATAAAAAAATAAAGACTTTGCAGATCTTTTTCTGATGAAGATGAGCAGAATAGTTCACTTTCTAAAGTGAGCGCCTGGCTTAACTAAAATTAGTATTGAAGCGTAATACAGTACTTTTGATTTTGATTGTTAGTTAATTATTGATTGTAAATGAATTATTAATGGTTATAATAAATGTATTTCTCATAGTAACAAAAAGAATACTAGGCTATACTTTTGTAAACTTTTATAATTTAATATCAAGTCCTTTGTTTTGTACAGCACGGATTCCTATACCACGGCAAATTTTCGGAACGTAACTATTACGTTATACAAGAGATATCTGTACTAGGGATTGTATACCTGTTTACCGATTTACCGAAATTGACAAAAACAACATTCGGTAAACTTACCGGTAAATTTTTGAAATTTACCGGTAATTCGGTAAATGAAAAATCTATACCAGAAATTTTTATGTAGATAATATTGTGTTTATAGATATTTAAAAGGGCTAAAGGAACATTAAAAAAAAAAAAAACAGGTAAAGTTTAAGCAACAATATACCTAATTATTAATTTTATTAGAGATATTTTTCTTTTAATTTTAATTTAAACTTTCTTGGGTTTGAGAAACGGTGTAAATCGTAGAGATTACAGATACAGATCGTCAAAATTAGGAGATAAGACTGTAAATAAGTTATTTTTTAAAAAATTATAATCAATAAAATTGTATTAGGTACTATATATCATTTCTGTTGTATTTTTATTTTTCTGTATTATTTTATTTGTTTCTAAAAGTTATTACAGTAGAGCGTCGATTATCCGAAAGTCAATCATCCGAAAGAATTCCAGTGGGCAAATTTAAATTCCCGCCAGTGCTGTGGCGCTGCAATCTTTGGCTATGTTTTGGGCTACTCAAATATTTTACGTTTTTGATACTAAATTAACTTCTGAAGTATAATTTTTTTATTGTTTTTATATTTTTCAATATATTTATTTTGTTTGTACAAAATAAAAAAATAATTTTTAACGATACAATAGTCTTCGTTAGGCTTAACATCGACGAAAATTCAACGAGAAGCGACACGCAACGGAGAAAAAGATGCGATAAATTAATATCTTTTTTCGTACATAATCGGTTATCCGAAACATCGATCTTCCGAACAACTCCAGTCCCCAATTGATTCGGATAATCGACGCTCTACTGTATTATAGTTTGTTTAGAATAACACTTTGACCTTTATATTTTTTAATATTCTATATCTTTGAAATAAAAAATGTGAAATGGAAATTAAAATGACATTTTTTATCACCTTAATTTTATTTTTAAAGAAAAAAATTTACCGGTAATTTACCAGTAAACCGGTATTTTAATTTTCATTTACCGAATTACCGGTAAATTTACAATCCCTGATCTGTACTATAAATATAAGAAAAATTTAAACTGGATTATTTTTTAATATAAGGTTGGTTAAATTAAGGTTGGTTTTATTTTTTAATATAAGGTTGGTATCTTATTTTCTGCCTCTAGAAAAAAGTAATTTTCTTTGAATGGAAAAGGGTGAAATTCGAATAGGGATCAGGATGGAATTTAATGCCATGAATTTCAAATGGAAGAACCGTCCAACTTGAGAAACATCTGTACACCTGAAAATAATCATATATACACATCGTTGAAATAATTCAAAAATAACAAACAATTTATATCGCATAGCAAAAAAAAAAAAAATCGCGTGAATCTAAACTGACGTATATGAATTACCTCAAATTGATTTATATTTTTAAAGCATTTATAGAAAATCATAAATAATGGGAAACTATATTTGAAAATTCATCTACAAAATTCTAAAGATAGAAATTTTCATCAACAGAACGAATACGAGTTGCATTTGGACACGATCGAATCGTTGCATGGCTTACAATTTTTAACCTCTGCTTTCTGTTTTAAAAGGTTTTGGTATGGAACCGTTCGAGAAATGTAGCTGTTTCGACCAACTAAACAATGGAACTACAGAAGAGAAGAAAAGTACAGTACATTCTATGACTTTTACGTAAATATGATTGAATTTTTCTTCTGATTTTCATCGTTTTATTTCTTTTTTTGACATTTAACGAAAATTATTTTTGTTATCGAAATTTCGTAGGCATGTACGGTAATTATGCGCAAGAAATGAATGTCGTGGTTTTAATACGATCGATTACTTTTGAAAATTGAAGTTTAACATTTTGTGTTTCGTAGATTTCGCCAATACGAAGAAGAGGAAGTTTGTGTGTGGAAATTGTGGCAAAGGATACTTTCGGAAGGACTACTTGCAAAGTCATAAGATGATTCACACAGGAGAAAAGCCATTTAAGTGCGATAATTGTTTACGAAAGTTCTCTTTCAAAAGTAATTTGAATTATCACATTAAACGCAATAGCAGAGAAAATATTAATTAACATAAATATAGTAGTTTGAAACTTGTTAGGAGTGATTTAATTCCAAACATTGCCATTTATTAATACTTTTTGACTTTTTCTTGAAATTTTATTAATGTAGTTGTATTACAAACATCAAATGAAAAAATTATTTTTTAGTAAAGTTATGAAAATAAAGAATTTTTGGAATTGTGAGAAAGTTTTTTTGCTATCGAAATTAGGTTTTCTTCTATCAGAATAAAAATGTTTTTTGTACTCTTTTTACTAAGCGATATTTCGAATTCGTTTCGAAATTTGGGATATTTTTGAATTCCAAGTTTTACTCCAATATATGTCAAAATTAAAAATAAACCTAAACAAATTATAAAAAATTCTTTTAAAACAGGAATTTATCGAAGCAGTTATTTATATTCTCGAGACACTGTACTGTCTTACTTCGGACATCGTCTATCCAACAGAAAAAGTTTAAATGTAGAAACATTGCAGCAAGAAAATATTCTGTTAGTTTAATTTTTCTCAGCCTTTGCTTTGGAATTTTGATGCCAACGGTAAAAGACAAGTAAAAGTTTCGTGGAAATCGTTTCGGGCGCTATTGAGGTCCAAACGACTTTCGTAATGGCGGTTTAATAGCCTTGGCTTTCGATGCGCTATGCCAGTGTTTTTAAAGCTGTGGGTCGCGACCCCCAGGGAGTCGCAAAGCCTTATACGGGGGTCGCGGGTAAAAGAAGAAGACAAGTGTTTGTAAGTCCTACACTACAATAAACAAACTACAATTTCAGTGAGAAGGCTATGCCTGTTTATTTTAAAGTACAATTGGTTTTTCGATCGATATTTAGGTCTCAACAGAAAGTAAGTTAAATACGTAGTTTTTAAAATCACTGACATAGTTTGAATATGGCCCTGGGGGGTCGCCAGAATTTTTTTAACTTGTAAAGGGGTCGCGTATTCAAGAAGGTTGAAAAACACTGATCTAGGCAATGGGGACATAACGTTGAGAAGCTAATAGAAATTAATTTAAGGTATATAAATAGTAAAAATATATTGAATTCGTCTGTAATAAACTTCATGACAATCTTAGTTATGTAATTTGTTTTATTTATAAATATTGGAACTGAAGAAAAACAAAGGGAAGTAAAGAATGTTTTATTTTTTACCTAGCTTTTTTTGCTAGTAAAATCATCTGTAGAAATCTATTTGAAAACTTCTTTAGTTTTTCGTTTGATGCATTTTTTAACTAGTAACTATAGAGTGTGAAGAAACGAAAAGATGATTTTAATCAATTGTCCCTTTGCGAAGAATTGAATGTTTAATTAATTAATTATTCTATGTCTGTTTACTGTAACTTTTAATTAACCACTGAACTTTTTAGGATAATTTCTTATTTAAGGATCGTGTACACTAATTTTTAAACAAATATTCTTGAAAGTGCCAGAAGATATTTCGATACATATTACCGTTTTACAAGCATTTGTTCATAAAAAATATATTTGTTCAAACGGTTCTTTATTATCAAATTTCAAAAGTCCGTAAAACAAGAATTATTATTTTCATTAAAAATTTAATTTTTACGTTTTCTTTTAAATGCATATTACATATGTGAGTTCTCTACCCTGTCTGTACTTCAGTCGTTTGGTAACGAATTTAGACATCATTTAACTTTTTTTTTATTTATTGCACATTCAGGTTGTTAGCGGATAATATTCCATTTTCTCTTCGGTGATAGAAGTAACCGGAGTGATGACGAAACATAAATCTTTTACAACTGCAGCTAATTTCAATGTCACATTAAGAAACGTAAATTCGATGTCATAGGGTTAAGGTTTTAAATGATAAATTCTTAACTAAAAAATAAATTTTTAATACATAATTCTAATTTTTTAATACTAATTATTTACTTGAAAATGGATATATGAATATAATAAGGTATATGTCCAATTTTCATATAAAAACTGGCTGTAATGGAATGATGCGATCTCTCTGTGTGCAGTTTATGATCAAAGTAGTTGTTATACATTAAAAATACTTTTCTAATGAAGCAATTAAGCAAAGTATACGTCATAAGTTAATATAAATTCGATCTATTAAACAAATAATTGTCTACTTGACTACTCTTAGAGAGTATCGTTAATCAGAATGAAAATTTATAAAATGATTATTTATTATGCAAAACGTAAGAAATTAAATAATATTTAAACTATATTTATTATAGAAACTTAAAGGGAAAATCAATGAATCCTGATATACCCTGTCAGATAAATTAAGTTAAACTGAAAATTTTATATTACATGTATACGTGCAGATTTTGAAGAAATTTGAGAGGTTTCTTCAAACACGTTAGCTCCTAACTCAAGATTTATAAAAACTATTTAAATTCATAAAATCTATTACAGTAGAAACCCCTATAACGCGGGTTCATATAATGCGGATTCGTATATTGCGGCGAAAAAATTACGACCGTATTCGTATAAAGACGCTAAAACACTCATAAAATGCAATAAAACGTCATCGCCGACTCGTGTCGCGACAGGATTGGTCGAATCTGGACCAATAGTAAACAAGCAGCCAAACTACTTACACGCTACGGATAGTTTAGGCGGGTAAGTTAGGTTTACTATCGTCTGTACAGTATATAAATTAGGTACTGTAAGTCTAATACAGCACTGTAATTTTATACCTTTCTTGTGAAAAAAAACATTTCTTATTCAACGGCCATAAAAATTATTTCTATTAACGATGTCTCCAAAGTTCAGTGAATTTTTGCAGAAAAATAACTTATCAGAAAACGCGCCAGCCGTTTCTTGCACTGCTGTGCAACGAAAACAAGCTTAAGCAATGGCGTCGTCGGACTGTACACACTCGGTAAGTAATCCGACAATTTTTTGTTTATAGCATAGTTTATACGGATTATTCCCAAAAAAAATATACATGTTTTTGGAAATGTTGAGTCAAATTCATCTAGAATCGGTAAATTTTATGGAAGAAAACCTTTCAAACAGCCGTAGTCAATAAACTGCACACGTGTCGTACTGTGATTGGCTCATGCATTTAAGGATTCCTACAACGCGAAATTCGTATAAAGTGGAACGTATCTACCGCGTCATAGAGGGACGACTGTATATGTTATTCGATTGTTATAATCGAAAATAACAATACCGTATTATATACCAATTGTTATTGTGATAAAGATGCTGTTAATAATTTTTTACTTAATAGTCAAAAAGTTTTGAATATTTTATTGAATAAAATAAATCGTTACGTAGGAATAGATACAGATATATTTTCTAATACAGTAATTGTAGACATTTTGTGTCATATTTGTGAGGAAAAATATCAGCTGATGAAATCACAATAATAAATCAGAAACATTTAACAAGAAAATTTAGAAAATAAATACATGATAATTGTAATTGAAATTATTGACCAAAAAATTTATTCATGTTTACTTTAAATTATTTTAAATTTATTGACAGTTATGAAGGTATAATATCTTTCCTGTCTACTTAACCGAAAATATAAAAAATTGGAATTATATGGGAATAATATTTGACGAATAAAAAATTATGTTAAGTGGGATTTAATAAGTCAAAGAAGTGACTTAATTCGCGAGTTTATTTCTGAATTTGCGAATTTTTTAAACTGAGAATTAATATAAAATATTATATAATTTTTACTTTATTCATAAAAAAATCATATTAGACACACAAAATAAAATTTAATTTTAGAGTACAAGTATTAGACAAAGAATACATGAATAATTTTTTCGAAATATCTCGATTGGAATAAAATTGGTAAATTTTAATTTCTCCAAGACAAATTTGTTAAAGAGTGTGTACGTAATTTAGATATGAAAACAGTTTTAAAATACCAACTATTAATTAACCTCACTCCACATGAGCTAAAAGATCAGGTACAGTAGGATTTAGTTTTCCCTTATTAAGAACTGAGCATAGTTTAAATCTTAATTTTAAAAATTATTTTTCTTGGTGTTACTTGGACACAGATAATTTCTATTAGTAACATTAAAGCAATGCAAAGAGAACACGGTTTAAGATTAAATTATCCTCACAAATCTTGTTGTCAAAAGTTAGAAACTAATTATTGCTCTGAAAAATTCTTTTGCATTAGATTATTTTGCTAGATTAAGCTGTAAAGCCTACCGGTAGATGATTCATTTAGGATTTCATCAGTTAATCGATTAATTTAATAAAATTTAATTTAAACCTTTAATTTTCCGAATGATCTAATTAGTTTAATAACTAATAATATACACTAGAAAATGATAGTACTAATCCTTCGAATTTTTAAAAATCACAATAAATCATTTAATTTCATGAAAATCATTTTATTAATTTTTAAAACAGAACGACTTTTTAAGTTTTTTTAAAAAAAATATTTTTATTCATTTATTAAAAAAATTTAACAACGAGTTACGTAACTTTTCCGGGGAAAAAGTTAAAATTGTGTGTGGCGCCATCTCTTATGAGATTTTATGTTAAAAACTTTTTATATTATAAAATGGCAAAATTATTAATTTTGAAGGTAAGGATGGGTTTCATAAAAAAATTGTATATGCTAATAACGAGTAAAATCGTAATTCAGTCCGAACCTACTGGAGATATGACACAAGACTTCCATTCCCTCGACTTTTAATTCCCAAAGTTTAATAGTTACAATAATGTCCCAACACAATAGAAGAGTATGGTGTAAACCTTGATTGTCTGGTTGTCTTAAATTATTTTGTGAGGTATTTTCTTATATTTTATATATCTTAATGTATATAATGTAAAGAATACATGCTGATCTCACAGCACACCATTGTGCACACCCCTTGACCCGGTTGAATTGATGACGTGCTTACTTTTACAAGTTGGAAAGAATAAAAATAAATAAACAATAAAATAATACGTAATAATACTACTGTATTATTATTATTATTATTATTATTACAGTATTATTATTGAATAATGTTTCGCATGTAAGAAGAATATTGGGAAAGTGGCGCCATGTCATCTACCGGCCAAAGTTCTCGTGGTCCTTGTTTGGATGTGATTACTCCAATGGATTTTCTAAGAAAGGAAGGTTATCGAGTAGGAAATATAATCGGTGAAGGATGTTATTGTAAAGTTAGGTAAATGTTTCTAAACGAACAAATTATAACAGTAAAGTTTTGGTTTTCGGACCGAATAACCTAAATTAATTTTAATTTTAGAAAAGCAGAAAAAAATGGAGAGAAACTGGCAATTAAAATCATATCTAGAAACAAAAAATCTAAGGAATATATTAATAAATTTTTACCACGTGAGCTGGAAATTATATCTGAAATAAAGCATCCTCATATTGCCCTGATTAAACGCATAATAGACTTTGGCCATTACGTTTATATCATTATGGAATTAGCTGAAAACGGTGATCTACTTAATCATATAATGGTAAATTTTTCATTTATTACTTTCCCGGATATTATATATAACAGAGGGAAAGTATGATCTTCAGTCAAAAAATGACCCCTTCAAGAATTTTTTTTCTTTGACTCAGGGAGCCTTAAAACGTCGAGAAATGCAAAAATTAAGGGATTTTTTTCTGTATGTATAGATGTAAAGGTGTGGGCCCCGATTTTATTCACCCAATTTGAAGCTTAATAACTCCTGTGTCTTTTGTCGAAAATTTCTAAAATTTTGCAGGGAGGTTTGTTTANATAGACAATGAATATCCAAAGCACATAAATAACAATAGACTTTTAATATCTTCGATTGATAAAGCTTGGAATTGCGATGGAGACGGTAACGATTTCTCAGCTTCTAAAGGTAATAATTTTTCTATAATTCCAGCTTCAAACAAGCGAGTTACTCTATTAAAAATTTACTGTTTTTAAGTAACGAAAAATATAATTGCGATGACGACGGTAACGATTTCTCAGCTTCTAAAGGTAATAATTTTTCTATAATTCCAGCTTCAAACAAGCGAGTTACTCTATTAAAAATTTACTGTTTTTANGTAAGAAGCTATACAAAAGTATAGTTTTTCTATAAACTTGAATTTTCCATTCATTGTGCAAAATACGAATTTATGAAATACCCTAAAGAATAATCTTTAGAATTTATTGAGTATTATTCGTATTAAAACGATATTTATTATTTACTGTAATTAATTGACAGTGCAAAAACTACAAAGATTTGTTTATGTGCTTTAAAATATATATCTATATCTATATATATAAAAATGGACGTGTATGTCCCTATATTTCACTTATCCTCCAAAACTACACATCGCACGTGAATGGTGTTTGTATGTGGTAGTAGCCCCAAGTCTCCATTCGTGC